GTCCGTTTAGGATACCAGTCCACAGGTTTACTGTGAAACAGTACTGGGACCTTTCTTCTTCACAGTACATTGTTTATAAAGTTCGGGTCCTCTTTATTTTTTTGCAACATTCTGCGGCAAAACCGTATGCGTTGTTCGTAGTCCCGAGACAGCAGGGCTTATACACGTTGCACGTGATATGGGTGATATTTATATCTCCTGGTGATCTCGTCTACTGTCGATTTGGGTATCACTGTTCGTTTTTCTATTTTTCGCGCCAAAGTAGTCGGATCGTTTTCAATTTCTTCTAAAACTTGATTATCGTAATTAATGCGGTGTCTTCCCTCTCCAACGGGAGCGTGAGGAATCCTGCCCTCCGAATATGCCCGATGAACATTGATAAACACACGATAATCAGGATATCGTTCCAAATTTGGATATCTTTCCCGATAAAGGTTAGCTGCCGCTAGACCATTTTCTCTGCATTCTCCATAAATGAGATTTATGTTTGCATACTCCTGGGCGGTATACGGCAGCGGCATATTTAACAGTTCAATCACCAACACAAGTAGTTCAATTAACACAAAGTCCACAGGAAAGTCGGTCACTTCATTTGATCTCCAATACAATCAAATCCAAATCAAAAGGTAACACACAAGTCCAGATACTTACAAGCAAACGTTATTGACAGAACAGTAACAGAATAACAACAAAAATGTTTTTTGCTTATTGCTATGGCCTCCTAGTCTAGACTGTTGATTTTTGTTTAATTTTTGGTAAGAGAAATAAAACTTTTTTGTAACATGATTTAATTAATGTTACTAATGTTCTCATAAGGTAAATTAGGAATATCCTTCACTGTAAGTCAATAACAATAAACTTTTTAATAAAACAATGGGTAGTTTTTAAAAGTACATTAAATGAGTAAACTTTTCAAGGCACTAGCCAAGTGTTAAACTTGAGTGATGGAAAATAAAAATAAATTATTTATCTGTAAAATAAGATTTCTTATTGAATAATTTGAACTTTTGGTTTAATGTTGGTCTTTGCTTAATGAAATGGCTATTCACAGTTGCAAAACCTAAATTAGAATCTAAGAATTATACATTTTTTTAAGAGTGACACTCGAAAATCTGATCCAAGAGGACGATTTTAACGTGGCAATATCTTGAAAACCATCGATTTTTTACTAAGGTCCTATTATGTTTTTCTGGAAGCTTATGAGTTGGTCCATCACTCCTTTTAGTACAATTCGATCGAATTATGAAAAGCAATTCTATCTGTTTTGACTTCGGAAATCTTCGACTCGGATTTGATATCAAATTCCATAATTGCAATTCCGTTCAACGAAATTCGACAATAAACTCGATAAAATAACTCGATAGCTCTAGAGTAGTCGATTCGATATCAAATCATTAAAGTTGAATTTTTTTGACATTAGGTATGAACCTTTCCTGCAGCAATGTGCCTTTTCTAAATAATCTCTCCTGCATTAAGGGCCTTATTTTCTCTATTAGGTATATACGGGCTCATTATACTATTTCATAGGGACAGTATCTGTATTTGTAACGTGTATAGGGTGGGTTTACTCATGGCACTTAGGCCTTACTAGGCCCATTGTGCAATCTCCCAATTAGATAGGTACCTACTAGCTCGTGAGCCAGGGACAGTATTGCTATTTCTTAAACGCTAACAAATAGAAAAATGGTTGAATTTGACAAAAGTTGCGCAGTTTTGTGCTTATTAAAATGGTGCCAGAAAACATTTGATATCTACAAAGAAATTCAAAATATCTGACAAAAAACGAATGAATGAATTTAAAGAAATTATCATTTTCATTTTTTGTCCGATATTTTAAATCTCCCTCTAGATATTAAAGGTTTCTTGGCACCATTTTAATAAGCACAAAACTGCGTAATTTTTCTCTAATTTAACCAACCTTCTATCTGTTAGCGTTTAAGAAAAATTACCACTGTCCCTATGAAACAGTATATAATACTTAAAACATCAATAAGAGGACTTATTAATTATATAAAACGCTATAGAATATAAACTAATAAAGGAAGGTAATCTTTATTCAGCCAAAAAATCTATCAACAGCGATTTTCAGAGAGTTCGAAAGGATCGCTTCTTTCCCTTAGGTCATTCTTTCTTTAGCACAAAGCACAATAATATTAAATAATAATATTTTTACAATTTACCCCATTACGAGTGATCCCTGCAACTCTGAAAGCATATAGCTGGTATCGGGGAGGGATAACATTATTATTATTATTATTTGCCATAGCGCTCCAATGGAACGTACAGATGGTGTCATCTAACTTATAGATGAGGATACCCAGAAAAAACCCCAAGCATCATCATAAAAAAATAAATTATTAATCTTATGGGTAAACCAAATACAATACAATTATTTAATTAATGTCGGGGATGGACGACTATTATTATTTTCCATGGCGCTCCGCGGCAACTTACAGATGTCATTGAAACTATAAATGAGAACACTACAGAAGAACCCCACCCATAAGAATAAAACCTAATAAAGAAATACAATTCAAGTTTTGTTGTTTGACGTTTAAAAGTCAGAAGAGTTTGAATGCTTCATTATTTTGTGGAATTTCCGAAGATTTCCGAAGTCAAAACAGATCGAGTTATAGAATCGCTTTTTTTAATTCGATCCAATTATGTGTCGAGTTACTCGACACAAAACAGAATGTCACGACTTTTGACGTCAAACAACAAAAATTAAATTGTAATTATTTCTTAGTTTTTATCTTATGTGTGGGGTTTTTCCGGAGTATCCTCATCTATAATTCAAATGACATCTGTAAGTTGCCTTGGAGAGCCATGGAAAATAATAATAGTCATCCCTCACCGGACACAAACAACTCTGCATTCAGAGTTGCAGCAAGGATCACTTAAAGTGGGTTAAATTATAAAAATATTATTTATTATTATTAAACTAAAGAAAGGATGAGTTACAACAAAGAAACGATCCTCTTGAACTTCCAGAAAGTCACATAAATCAATCTTCTGAAGCCCGTCACGAAGTCCGACAAGAAATAGTCACAGCAGCTATGCGTCCCGAAAAAGTCAATCACCACAACGAGCCGGCTTTCTAGCAATAATCAGGAAGCAGAGCATCGTAGAAGCCGTTTCCATAGCAACGCAGACATTATCTCCAGGCGACCCTGTTTAGAACGAGAATGCCGGTATAGTAAGGGGCTCGGAGAACGGGAGGAACCAGTTGATAAAGTTACCCTTCGGGCAACCACTATCAAACTAGAGGGCGATGAAGAAGAAATCGCCCTTGAAAGCCTCAGAAAGGGACAGAAGAAAGACAGTTATTTGAAAATTGTTCGAGAATGGCTCAAAAATAAAGTTACACTTACTTGGCAAGAGATAGCCAAATACAGTGGAGCTATTAAAGGGTACTGGACTCAGTGGGATTCCCTGTATCTTCACGATGGCCTATTGCACCGGAAGTGTGAAAGCTCTGATGGAGTACATGTAGTCCGCCTAGTGGTACTGCCAAAATCACATGTCAGAAGTGTGTTGGAGGAACTTCATTGTAGCCGTTCGGGAGGACATTTTGGTACTAAAAGAACACTGGCACGTGTTCGGAAAAGATTTTATTGGGTCAATTGCCGACGGGATGTGGCGGATTGGTGTAATGTACGCAATGGCAGGACAAATGTCTACGGATTTGCTCGGGAACGACTGGAAGCCCAAAAGCGATAAAGCAGAAGCTAGAATCGACAGGCGTGCCACAGGGACACATTTTGAGAGGGGTGACAACGGAACTGGGAAGGCCCCTACGCCGTCCTTAAGGAAAATCAACGACCTGATATACCGCATTCAGCTGTAAAGTAAATCCAAGCTAGTTCACATTTGGAAGTTAGCGCCATGCCATGGTCCAGATCCTTTTCGTTAGCTCTAACTGGGTCCCAGTAGTCAAGTTATTCGGGGCGAATAACTAGAGAGGCGAGAGCAATGTTACGCAGTACCCTGCATCGTGCTGCGGTCATCATAAGTAAAGGTACGAGTAAATGAAGAAGATAGAATATTCCCGAAAAGTCTCGAAATGTCATTCCTTGTCAAAGAAAAGTCCAGATTATTCGAGAAGTTTCCAGAAGGAGAGGCAAGCTATATAAGGCGACGACCTGACGTCACAGGGGACAGTTTTATGATAGACGTTAAACGTTAATGTTATCAGTGAAAGTTATTGTGTCAGTTGAGTTGAGTTATTGTAAAAGTTGAATGCAAATAAATTGTGATACCAAAAACCAGCGTAACATATAATAATTTATTTTAAAAACTTTGACTTTATTTTCTACGCAATAAAACATTTTATGCTTAGCTAGGCTAGTCACGTAACATCGAAAAGAAGAATTTAGAGGGTCATTCCTATAGCATACGCCGAAAAAGAAGAAGAGATCAAGATATAAGCAACAATTTTTGCATTCTATAGGGTAAATCCTGTCAAGACTTGTTTCAGCAGCCTCTGGTCATTGTTGATCTCTTCATTTTTGCACATGTCACAATAGCAAACGTCAGGTGACACTTTATACCTGCGACTTTACAGGTTACTTTTTTAGCTAATTAGGTGACCTCTTCAGGTACCTTCTTCGATTACCTGTGGCGTAGTCGAAGAACTCGATGGACAGCTTACAAAACTGTCCCAGAACCAGTACAGCTATACTACTATACACTAGAGCACAAAATGTTTTCAAGTATGTTATCGCTCAAAAAATACTAAACTGTTTGCAGACAAGTTACAAATAACCGATTCACTGGTTTAAATTTTAAATCGCTAATGAAACGCACAACATATTTTTAAGTTGTAAGTGATTATTTATGCACCATCTTTCCCCGCCTTCCCCTAATATGTTTGATAATGTAGACGTGGAAATTTTTTCAGTATAATATAATGCATATTTTATTATAAAAAACAATTGTTACTTAAATGTTATCAATGAAAAATTTATATTTAAAAAAATGTTCGTTTATAATATAATTACTTCTTGAACAGACTCCATCAAATTCGTCTTGACTTTTAGTTTTACAGAAGAGTCCTGGTCCACATATTTCTTTTGGTACTGGATCGGAAACATCACCCGTTGAACACTCTTCACCTTCATCTAAAAAAAATAAAATAAAATATAAAGCAAATGAAAATAACAAATTCATTATTTCCTAAAACGGGTAGATAATTCTTGAAACTGCTTAAATTTTTAAACGCGTATTTCGTGAGATATTAATACATGCCATCATCTATGTGAGTCTGATGACGTCATCGATCTTCTTTAAATAAGTGTAGCATCAATATGGCTGCCGAATCAGGTCAAGCTGATTTTTCAATCTAGATAGCATGCCCAAGTTTATACTTTAAAATATTTTTTCAGTTCGAGGCGAAAGTAGATATAATCATTTATTTTAATATAATTTTCGGCTATAGTTATATTTAGATTTGGTGAATTTTGTTTTAAAAATATAAAAAAATTAGCCTTTAAAAGACTATAATTTAAAAAAGAACTGTAAATTCAAACAGAATAGAAGACTGGTAGGTAATGCATATTTTACAGTTAGTTAACACTTTTTTTTTATAAAAAAAAACAAATATGTTCCTCAAAAAAGTGTAATTTTCGGGTAAAAAGTGTTACTGTAATACTAATTATTATTATTATTATTATATTAATATTAATAATAATAATAATAATAATAATAATAATAATAATAATAATAATAATAATAATAATAATAATAATAATAATAATTAATAATAATAATAATAATAATAATAATAATAATAATAATATTAATAATAATAATAATAATAATAATAATAATAATAATAATAATAATAATAATAATAATAATAATAATAATAATAATAATAATAATAATAATAATAATAATAATAATAATAATAATAATAATAATAATAATAATAATAATAATAATAATAATAATAATAATAATAATAATAATAATAATAATAATAATAATAATAATAATAATAATAATAATAATAATAATAATAATAATAATAATAATAATAATAATAATAATAATAATAATAATAATAATAATAATAATAATAATAATAATAATAATAATAATAATAATAATAATAATAATAATAATAATAATAATAATAATAATAATAATAATAATAATAATAATAATAATAATAATAATAATAATAATAATAATAATAATAATAATAATAATAATAATAATAATAATAATAATAATAATAATAATAATAATAATAATAATAATAATAATAATAATAATAATAATAATAATAATAATAATAATAATAATAATAATAATAATAATAATAATAATAATAATAATAATAATAATAATAATAATAATAATAATAATAATAATAATAATAATAATAATAATAATAATAATAATAATAATAATAATAATAATAATAATAATAATAATAATAATAATAATAATAATAATAATAATAATAATAATAATAATAATAATAATAATAATAATAATAATAATAATAATAATAATAATAATAATAATAATAATAATAATAATAATAATAATAATAATAATAATAATAATAATAATAATAATAATAATAATAATAATAATAATAATAATAATAATAATAATAATAATAATAATAATAATAATAATAATAATAATAATAATAATAATAATAATAATAATAATAATAATAATAATAATAATAATAATAATAATAATAATAATAATAATAATAATAATAATAATAATAATAATAATAATAATAATAATAATAATACTAATAATAATAATAATAATAATAATAATAATAATAATAATAATAATAATAATAATAATAATAATAATAATAATAATAATAATAATAATAATAATAATAATAATAATAATAATAATAATAATAATAATAATAATAATAATAATAATAATAATAATAATAATAATAATAATAATAATAATAATAATAATAATAATAATAATAATAATAATAAATAATAATAATAATAATAATAATAATAATAATAATAATAATAATAATAATAATAATAATAATAATAATAATAATAATAATAATAATAATAATAATAATAATAATAATAATAATAATAATAATAATAATAATAATAATAATTAATAATAAATAATAAAACTCCCTGTAGGAGCTGAGAGACCTTGCCTTGGTAAGGGAGTTTATTAGCTTCCTCTTCTCGAGCATGATGGGACGGAGAGTGAAGCTAAGGAACAGCTCAAAATGGTTGGTAGGGCACTGGTGGGATCGTGGATGTCGACTCAGCGATACCAGTAGATGCCAGTAGAAGAACAACAGGTCCTGTTACATATATAAACACACCAACAAGTCTAACTCAGAAAGGGGGCGAATGGCGAGATCCCGGGCCATTAAATAACGGGGACTTGTCGGCTATGGTATGGTAACTCAGACAGAATTATCTCTATGAACCTATGAAGAAAACCAGCGGCAAAAAAGGCGTAGACCGTACCAAGAGATGCATGGTCCATGGACGCGGCCGCAAACGGTCTCCCCCGGTCATGGCGAGGGCACGGGGATGTAGGCGAAAGAAAGGCCTTAGTGAGGTACGGCGCACTGCCTTACCGAACAAAAAATCGACCCTTCTCGTGGGAACTACATGGATATTAATTATATACAATTTAAAAAAATAAAAAAAATACAGGGAAATAATGCCAAAGAAAACGTAGAAAACCTATTTGCGATTATTTTTGGAAATATTCAAATAAAATTTTAGTGCCCCTTGTATGATATATGTTGTTTACTTTGATAGTTGATAAATGTCATATATAAAAATATAGTTGTCAATAAAATATCTTTATTGGAAGGCGTAATATAATTTATTGTTAGTGTTTAATTAGAATCCTTTCAGGTAGCTAAAATCTGTAAGATTTCAGCAGTCCAAACAGGTAAAATTTACCACATTTGGCGACTGTGGCCAGGAGACGATCTGTTGAACTTTGATAATGGAAAGGATTAAGAAAGCCCGTATTGGTCAACGACGTGCATTTACAAAGATGTATAATAATCTTCAGGAGTTATTGTTCCAATCTAAACCAGATATGATAGAATTAAAAGTAAATATAAGAATTCTTGATCAAAGATTTAACTCCATTAAAGAATTAGATCAACAAATGTTTGATCATTTATTAAACATCAGTTCAAACGAAGATGATATTTTTACAGGCTTGAAACCCGAGAATACCGATCAAGGAGAAGCGACAGCTTGGTGTTTTCAGTGTACCGTTTTGTAACGCGCATGTGCGAAACTAAGTTGTGTATCACTCAAAATTATGTTATTTGTCAAAGTCAGTCCAAGTTGTGTTTAGTACGTGAGCAATGTTAAGTGATATTTTTTGGTGTTTGTTTTGTGTAGTAATGAGATGAAGATTTTTACACACTTAGGTATTCTAATACAGATATAAAATGTGCCAAAAAAGTTATTAGGAAACTAAGAATTTTATCACATGCATAAATATTAAGTATAATGATTTAATCATTTTTGACATTTTATTTTTCATTTGTAGGAATTGTATTTTGTGAAATATATGTTTTTCTTCTTATAAATAAATTTAATAAACAATGAACTGCAGATTTTGTTTATTTTATTTTAAAATTATATTTAAAAAACTATAATAAATTCGCGTGTTTCAATTAGGATTGGTCAAAGTGGGCGAAATCCCTTTATTATGGCTAAATTGTAAGTTACAATTATGTCAATATAAAGATGTTTTGCCCATTCATATTTACATTTATTGAATGAATCATACTGGAGTTGATTTTGGAAATATTGGTGCATACTTAAATAAGTACATTTCTAAAAATTCGTCTATGCACACATAGTCCAATGGACGTCCACTTTAGATCTATTTGAGAGTCAGTACGTCCATATCCGGGCATCCAGTGTACGTCCGTTTATGCTAATTAAATTGACAGCTGAATATCGATACCCAGAGAACGTCTGTTTTTGGACTTAATTTTAAGTTTAGTAGTATTTTGACGTCCATCTTAGGTCATTATTTATTAAGCCTACCAGATAATACCCATCTATATATACTTCTTTTTTTTTTTTAATATAACTGGTCATTAAAAATTGACAAATTGAATATATTGCATTTCATTCTATCAGCGGAAGTTTGAAATCTTATTCAATTATAACTGTATCTAGTAAAAAGTTTTCAAGTGGTTCCTTGGTCAAGCTCGTCTAGCGATTGAAAGCGTAAAACGATACTGGATGTGTCGTGAGTTCGATTCCTGCTCAGGTCAAGGAATTTTTAATAAAAAATAAATAAATGGTGTATAGCGGTTTGCGAAAATAATAAACACATTATTAATAATATAAAATAGTGTTTGGTGAGTTGCGGTTCTGTAAAAAAAAAATGGGAATGTGGTCTGAATGGAAATATAATCTTGGACGTTTTTTGAATGTCCAGTATTCGACGTCCAAATATATTCCAGAATTGGACGTCCTCTGAATGGTCAAAAGTGTGCCATTTGTATACTTCACTGGACGTCCATTGGATGTCGGAAGTCCAGAAAACTAATTTTTGGACTTCTAGACATCCAAAATTGTATATGAAATGGACGTCTAATGGACATATTTGTATTGTCTTGGTGATAGCCAGGCCAGGTATTTAACTCTAAATACATAAACCTTAAATGACATCTCGTTTAACTTGGCGAGAAAACATTTGTTTCTACAGAAATGAGTGATAAACTTGAAAGTTCTTTTAATATAATATAAGTCTAGAAATTCTAAAAATATGTAAGTATTTTTTAAACCTAAAAGCTTTGAAAATATATGCACATTGCAAATATTTAGTTAAACCTCTCAAACTTAATGTCTTTTTAATTGTTACCTAATTTTTTTTTGGCACCCTTAATTTTATTTACCTTATTTTTACTTAAGGAAAAGGTAATTTAATTTAAATATGGGGCTTTTATTACATTTTTAACAATAAATAAACCAAATATTGAACAAATTTTATAGGTAAATTATAAAATAATAAACGTCTTCTACTTTTATAACAAATAATTAATTATTACATAATGAATTATATTTTGGTGCCGAAATTTCACCATTGCTATTAACCCTAA